CATCCCACCAACTTTGGCCACTTCTACAGCCGTTAATCAGAGATCCATTTCTATGCTCCTCTTTACAGCCCTTTTTGTCCTCTCCGATGGAACAGGACGACCTGGACACTGCTCAGTTGTTTCCTTGCCGTGTTTCTTGAACTGCACGATGATTCTGTTGACTGTCGAAAGCGGGTTTCCCAAATTCTGCGAAATTTGCCGCTGACTTATTCCACCATCTGCTTGACCAACTATCCTTCTTCTAACAAAATCTGACAATTCGAGAAAACCCTTTAGTGTAAGCTCCATTAGTTTTTTTAAAAATGTGGAGCATAACACAAACTGAATAACATGACATGAAACCACATAAGTCAACTCACACGCTAAAAGCTGTCTCAGGCTTATTTTCATTACCTAACTAAACTTGTCAATATCAAGATGCCGGATCTAAAGCGATAAACCGAAGGTAAACTTTCAATGCATCCAGAAATATATCTGTTTGCTGTAAAGGAGATGCATCAATGTAAATTACTACAGTCTCTCAAATACATTAAACACATAATTATGGCGTGCCTTCTATATTCATGAAAATCCATCTTTCAACATCACTGTATTTTAGTGCTGGTTATGTCTCTGTTGCTAGAACGAACTGTTTCCTGTTGAGAGAGGAGGCAACATTAGGTCAGACAATTATCTGTCGAAGGAGAAATGAAGTATCAGTGCTGATTGAGGATTGTACAAGTTGTCAGTCATGCTCCCCTAAGGATTTTTAGTCAACTTGCGCTTAGAAAAGCTGTTAAACGTAATATCCTTCGTAGGTAGCACAAAGTATTTCATAACTTAATTGAACATCTCCAACCATAATCTTGCATTTTGTGTCCATGCACCAATATAGAGAGCATTTTAAAAATTAAATTCAAATAATTTGTCGTTACTAAGCGAATAGAAACACATTTCTTAAGCTAACACTTTAAGTTGATTTCTTATCTCTAAAACCACGCCTGCAGTCAACTGTAAACATCCGTATTACACTTTTAAGAGAATTAGTGTTGAGAAGAAAGGGAAGAAAATTATCTCCTGTAAAACGTGATTTTAACCATATAAGTACCATACCTTTGGAATTCGGAATCAATGGAAGTTTGCATCTTGTAACTTTTATAAAGCTTTATAATAATAGCATTAAATTTCGGGTTCGAAATTGACGTATCTTCCAAAAAACACAAAACTTTTAATCATGATGAAAGATTTTGTTTGTATTACATACAAAAAACAACAACAAAAAACAACGCCAATATTTCAAAGTTACGACAATGTTTTATTTACTGTTCGACAATGGAAATACAATATTAATAATAAAATATTATACAACTTACTGTTACAACATAATCTAACGAAAGATCCAAAAGGCAAAGTTTTCGGTCTACTACGCCGGGCTGTTACAACTTTCAAGATTTATTAACCATAACAGAACTCAGACTTATAGCAACACTGGATGTACATAGTAATGTTTGAAGAATATATATATATATATATATTTACGAAAAACAATACAAAACTTTCTGATACATTGGCACTTTATATAATGTCTCAAGACACAATGAAACGTTAGCATATTTATTCTTTATATTATAACTCTTAATTATGTAACCACTAAGGAAATTATTAAAAATACCAGCAGTTGAGCGTATAACGATATGATCGCCATCTATTGTACATAAACAATAAAACACGTTTATAATATAAAACTTTTTTTTTCTCCATTTAAACTAACAACAGAACTCTTTAGCATTAAGAAGACAAAATGTTTCATATGCATACTGAGCTTTCTCACTTACATGTACTTTTTCGAACACTTTTTGGTGCCCTTCATTTTTTGAATGTTTTGAGTACAGGATATTTGTAGTGTTACAATGAATGCAAGTTACCAGGATTAGGAACAGGAGATACTGATAGAAAGTTTGATAAACTGTTATTTTTATTTAAAAATATGAATTTAAATAATGCTGAACTTATAATTTACTGACATTCTCCTGCTCTATTTTGGGAATTTCCATTTCTTGTCTAACTGAACTGCCAGAATCTACATCTTCCCTCCAGCTTTCAAATGAGTTCTGTAGCTGAGCTGTAGAGCAAGCTTTAGAGACAGAAGATCTATGAGCACGTGTACGCTCGTTACTATTCCATATACCGTATCCAAAATATATAACTAAGCCTAAAGAAAATGACAAAAATATGCAATCAGAATTTCAAATTATAAAAGTCACAATTATCGCTAATTTGACATTTTAGTATTTTCAAATAATCTGAAAAAAAATATGCACGTAAACAAATATAAAATCATTATTTTAAACCTTTTTTTTTATATTTGTTCAAATAACATGAAATGTTCAAAGTTTAAAATATGAATTAGTGCAAATTTAAGAAGTGCAAATTTAACATGTCGGTCACTTGGACGATCATTAACTGCGACTCATTAATTTTCTTTAAATAACAACTATTTTCTGCTATCTAAGTTTACTGCTTAAACTCAGGTTTTTAGCCACCTCTGGTGGAAACATTTAATTTTTTATCTTACGTAAATAAATAATTACAAACAAATTAATGAATTTTTGAATACTCTTATTAAGCACAAAGCTATACAGAGGCCATCTGTACTATGCCCACCGTAATCCGAATTTTAGCGGTATAAACCATCAGAATTACCGCCGGGCTACTGAGAGGCGTCTATACTGCAATCATTTTTTTTTTTCTCATTAACACCCTGACATTTAAAAATGAAACGAATCTGTTTCAGACGAAAAACAATGAGATACTGTGGAATGTTAGGAACTATTTCTAAAGGCTATTTGTTCCTTCGATGGAGCAGTGGCAAACTAGAGGGCTTATAACAATAAGATTCGAGGTTCAAAATAGCTTATATATCCTATTGTGTAACTTTGCGCTAAAACAAACACAACATTATTAATGTTTATATTTTCTGAATATTAATACTATCAGTAGGTAACGAGAACACAGGAATTTTAATAGTAATGATGGAAAAAATTAGTCAGTTTTCTATAAAAGAAACAAAATAATGCAGTATTGAAAGTACCCATTAGAAAATCAAATTTGTCGATATGCGATTTATTAGAGCTGACGTTAGCTTTTTTCTGTGCTTATTTCAGCAGTTAATCTCCTCCTCAGTCTCGGTGTTGTTTGATTAATGTTGTTAGGAGTTTTATTTACATAAATAATAATTGTACTAAAATGCTATCAGAAACAGAGAAAATGAAGCAAAACAGAGAAAAAACTCATAAAACTGTTTAACAAAGTTTATAAAAGAACACTTCACATGAACTGAAAACGAGTAATTAATAATTCACTATAAAAATATCAAGTTATAAGCCCACTAAGAAGCAATTTAGTTTGAGAGATTTTGATATCTCAAGGCTGCTGTTTTAGCACACGCTCTCAAACTGAAATATCAAAAATATAACAAAAAACAGATATACGCAAAACACATATAACTTCGCTTACCTATACTCATCCAGACAGCAAAACGAATCCACGTGATTTTTGACAGTTTAAACATCAAGTATATGTTTACAAAAATACTGAGAAATGGTAAGAACGGAACTAGGGGTACCTGTAGAGGGTGTGAAAAAATAGTGATAGAAATATTTGGGCTTTTAAAAGTTAAACATTGAATAAATTTCAACAGTTTATGACAATATAATCAAGGAAGAGTTACGCCCTCACAATGAAAGTATCAAATTTGTTGCAATCTAATTTCTAGCATATATATATATATCTTCATTAGGAATAAGAGACCGATTAATATTTGTTTTATTTTGTATACATGACTAAGCGGGGAACAATTTTATATAGATAAATTCTGTAATAATTAGCTTTTTTGTTTTCTGCTCAGTTTTTCTTGCTTTTGTTGCCCCAAGTAACAAGATGTCACATGATGTTACTGTTTTAAAATGTATTCAGTTCAAAAATATTCATCAACAGCTCTCTCTCTCTCTCTTCTTTTTTTACCCTTTCATTAATATAATAACTTCGTTCATTCACTTTGAAATAAATGTTTACCTTTATGTATGTATGTATTTATTTCAACTATATAGATATTTATTTTACAAGTGATATTTAGAGAGACTTTCATAAGTCAGATCTCGCATTAAAATGGCATTGATCTGTAGTCAACACCTTTGTTGAACAGCTCAGACTTTGCCATTTAGTGGATATTTTGAAATTTAAATAAGGTAAATAAGTCAACTTATGCAGCATAGGTGAACTGCTTCGTCCTCCTGAGGGTCAGCGGTAAGTTTCTGGACTTACACTCCTAATTCCGGGGTTTGACTCTTCGTGGTGCTAGAGTGAAGATAGTCCTTTGCATTAAAAACAAACAAATCCAATCTCTCATAGAGTTTAACCCAAGAAATGAATAATTGCGTAGTTCAATACGCTTTAGTTTTTGGTATATACTTAAGTGTTACCCATCTTTTTCAAGTTATAAAATCAAGCGTGGATCTTAATAGTTTTATATCAAGTACTTTGGGGCGAGATATTGTCTTA